CCAAAACATATGGTTCAGAATGGATTAACCGTAATTACATTGAACCTTATGGGAAAATTTGATTCGGTTCACGACCAATTCGGTTCGCAACCAGAGTCACGGAACAAATTAAGTTCGTGAACCGAGGTACCACTGTACTTGTTCTGCAGTTACAATTGGTGGTCTAATTAGTAGCCTGGGAAAAATTGCTTGTAACCTTCCATTATTAGGACATCAGAGGGCCAGGAGGCAGTGCTTCTCTGTGATGGTCCCCACATTATAGAATGGCCTCCCCCTGCAAATTAAACTTGCCTTGGAGTTTAAGTTGAGAATTCAAGATAGATTAGATGTTCCAGAGGGCTTTTAACTAGCTGGATAATGTCATTGGTATTTTAAAGAATTATGGATTGCTACATTTCAGTTGATATTTTGTTGAATTATTACCTTTATATGTCTTCTATTATGATTCTTTTAGGTGTATACCACCAAAGTCTCAAGAAAGCAATGGTCTGACAGTCTAATAAATAAATAACAAAGTGTAGAGGAATCAGGCAAGGTTCTATCCATCATCAAGGCTGTTGTTTGCAGCCTGTTGTTCAAAGGATTCGCCCAGCCATCATTCACAGAATAAAATACAATTGGCTGAGTTCGCACTACATGCTACTTGCTAGCCAGGTACTTTATGGTTTAATGCTGTAGTAAACCAGCCAAAGGATCCTCCTAGGATTGGGGATGAATTGATTCTCTGGGGACCAGATTGGTGAGACTACCATAAAGCCATGCTGGAATATTAGTACCACATGCAAGTTGCCAGGATCATAGACTTCCCCCACTTCCCTCTTCCATATTTTTTGAAGGAGAAATAAAACAATTCCATTTCCATTTGGTGGAGTGCTAGCTTGTGTTTGCAATGAGCCAAGAATTATGTTTAAACTAAATATGAGTCCATTTCTGAACAAATCTCATCAAATTCTCTTTGTGGTTTAATAAACAAAGGGTTATTTTAAACCTCAATTCATGGTTTGTACATAAGCCAGCAATCTGCTAAACTGAAACTAAACTCTTGCAGCTCAACCTCGGTACTTGCAAAGCTACCTTTTTGCTGATTTACTTGGCGTTATGCATGAACCAATGGATAGCATTCTTATGTTTTTCAGGTCATTTTAAGTATTGACCCCAACAGGCATCAAAGTATTTAAATAAGCACATTTTGTTTGTTTCATGTATCCTTTGTAGAGTTTTGAACAAATAACATAAGAATAAGCTAATATAGTTTTAAGGTCTTGTTTATTCACAGTTTATTGAGTTTATTTTGGACATAAATACATATCTGTATGGCTCAGGTTATAACAAATGTACTGTTAGATATTAGAAAACATTTGATGAAACGTAGTGGTTCTTTTCCTCCTATTTTTTCCCAGATATCTGTATTCCCATGTGGAATCAGAAGCAAAATCTGCTCTGCCTAGCAACACATATATGTATGTGTGTGGAAATGTGGCTTGCATCCAACCCAACATTAAAGCAGTACTTTGGTTACTGGTTAGCATTTTAATCTATACATATATACAATTGTATCGGATTTTTAAAAAGTTCTTCTGTAATATAGTACACATATTTTATAACAGTCTTGTAGGAAACCTCCTCGGCAACCCTCAATAACCAGGATCTTGACAGAAAGCCTAATGGAATCTTTGACTTATTTTCCTTTGGAAACTGTATCACAAACTCTTTCTCAGAGCCCCTTCAGTTTCCAAAGCAAGTTGAATTAGGGTATAGAAAATATTGTCCAAGACAAGTTCAAAAAATCCTGAAATTGGGGAACTAGTTTCACATTTCATCAACCAATGGTAATAAATTCAGTATTTAACACAAAACATAAACCAGGGGTGTTTGAGGAATGCAGGCTTTGAGGATTCAGTGCTAAAAATTAGTATAAAAACATTTTTCCAATTTTTGTAGACATTATCAGTTCTTTTATTGACCTCTGCCCATTTCTGCAATAAAAGACTCATTTGGAAGCTGTTACTTGATAATGTACTTGCAACTCTGAATACCTGTTCCATAAAATTATGGCTTGAAGAACTGATACTTGTAGCTTCACTATGTTAAATTCTTGTCTAGAAATGAATTCTGGAAGTACCTAGGTCTGCACTAAGGGCCAGAAGTTCAAATGTTATGTTACTGCAGACCTAAAGATACATGACTAAGTCTCACATCCAGCCATGAGCACCACGATTATGAGATCTACTGCAGGGTTTGACTAAAATACCAAGACCGTGCCCAATTGGAGCCATATACAAAAGAACAACTCCGAGACAGAATCATTTACCCATGTATCTACTAAGTTGTATACTTGGAAGATCCACAAATGTGAATCTACGTTTGATCAACTAGATAGCAAGTCTTACACTGGTCTAATTTAGGGGAAAATCTATTGTTCATATTAAAAGTACTTTCCAATTTATTGCAAACTATCCAGTAATTTGCTGGTAGATGCCAATCAGTTTTCTGCCTATTCCTTTTCCATCCTCAGAAAAAGAGAGGGAAAAACTCCACATTTATGTCTTGATTATTTTATAACTATTACCAAACATAGTCACATGTAACAGGAGAATCATTTAATGTCCATTGATTTAATTGGATGTTCTCAAAGGACAATGAATTCAATCTACTACACTTGAAATAATTGCCCATAACATAGCTTTTTAATGTAAGCTTCCTACTAGAATTCTACCTTCTTCAAGGAGAGAAAAGATGAAATTAGAACTCTCTGTGATCCAATATACTGCTATAATAATACTCCTAGTAAGAAGACTGTTAACTGGTACAGCAAGGTCCTTTTAAAGTTTAAATCCTTGTCTCCCATCCCATCCCATGAGAAACCATTATACCACTGTTACATAAATAAACCCAACATGGGTAAGCACAGCGCCATAAATGATCTCATCCTGCAGCTAATCTCTGGCAAA